ACACAATGTCAATTCCAAATAAATCCATTTATAAGTTCACAGCATAAGCAGAAAGGCCCTCTGCACTGTGCCTGCTGCCCATATCTTCCCAGAAACCATCTCCATGGCAAGTGCTGTGGCGTAAGAAAAAGGCTGAAAATTACGGATGGATGTCGAGATCTAATGACAAAAAAGATGTGGACTGTAAAACCATCATTTGACTTTCTTTTAATCTGACTTTGTTTAAAGAAAGCATCCTGAGTACCTGAACCAGCACTGAGAGCTGTGGGTTATGTTTGAATTATTGTTTGAGTTTTCAGTAGTGGCACAGAGATTAAAAACAACTTTCCCAAACCCTGTGTGGGACCAAAAGTGCAGTGAACCATCAATAGTCAGAAACTGTTGGTCTGTGAGCATAATGTTTTATGTCTCTTACCCATTCTGTGTCCCAGTCAGAGTCCCAACACCGTTCGTGCTGCAAAACACTGGAAACATTCAGGACCTTAACATGTAAACGCACTCAGAATAAGTGCTGACTGTCAGTAAGGTAGTGGAGCTTACTGAAAAGCTATTTCACCTGAAATTTGATTTTACTGAAATAAAGCAGGGTTATCTTTTATGGTTGTTTAGGTTATGGATCTATATCTCTATAAGGACTGATGACTTGCTCAGCACATTAAATACACAGTAGATTGTTTATTTTATATCATACAAAAGGTTATATTGCTGTTTACATCGGTCGCGTGTCCCTTTTCTCTTCCTAACAAGGACCACAAAGAAATACACTTTTAGCCCTACTGTGTTGTCAACCTCGATAACTAAACCGTAAATCCAGAATTTGTGATTTCAGTCTTGTATTTACTTTCATTATTATCAAATAAATGTATTTACCTACATAATAATTCCAATATGTTGAATTTTAAGCATCACTTTTTGATTTAATCATATAAAAATAAATCATTTGAAGTGAATATGTAATGTACATGGGCAAGCATATAAAACTTGTAAGAACCACTATTTAATTGTTTTTTTTCATTTAAAATTCTCAAATATTTTTGCAAAATAAACCTATGCAGTGTTACCATGCTCACTTCATGTTTATAAGTATACATGTAGTTTCTTCTACATGTCGCAGCTGCTGAAAGATAGTTGTTTTGTAATAAGTAGACATGATGCCAATACACAATGTCTGCAGTAATTTACTCAGTCAGCACCTAACAGTCAATAACACTAAGAATATTGATCCCACAACTTGGACTGCAAGATAAACGTCTCCTGCTATGCATCATTGTGGACTTCTTACAATACATAATGAATAAACATAAACATGTTGATAAGCAGCAGTTTATAGCGTACCTACTGAAAGAAGATAGCCATATCTTTAAAGCAAGGCAGAACTTCTCTTCTGTAAACATTGCGACATAACAGGTAGTACAGCCATGTTTTCCCCTATTAAGTTTAAACAGGAAGTGTTACTGTAAAGCAGCATTGTTTGTATTTCCAGTTATTACTCAGACTTCTCCCATTTCCCAGTGTCTCCCAGCAGACGGGTTGGGCTTCTATTCCACAATCCACCCTTTTCTAAATCCTATAAATAGCAGCTGTTTCAGAGGGCAGAACAATAGTCTGCAGGCTTTTCCATTCATACATTCCTGGCACCAGTCCGAGCCATCTCCGCCCACTGCTTGTTACTACCTGACTCATGTCCCTGCATGTCTACTGTATGTAAACAGTGGTGCACACACACCAACACTTTTACAATCACACACACACATACACATTTCTGCATTGTTTTCTTTGTTTTCAACCCTATTGCTTCTTTTTTTAAACTCTGAAACGAATCTGAATCTAATGCAGTCCTTACTATTAACTTATTATAATAATAATACTGCATAAAAAAAATAATATGCAGGGTTACAAGATGATTAAAGGGATTAAAAGGGAAGTCGTTGTTTCATTTTGCCTGTATTTGATAGTGATACAGCAGTAAAGATACAGAGAGGAAACAGAGAAAGAGAGAGGGGTTTGACATATAACATATGCACTTGATGTTCCAGACTGTAAATAGAACTGGGTATGGTACAGTGGTATGGTATGTCCATACCACAAGGCCTCTGCAGGAAACCAAGAAAAAATTTGTGTCAGACGAGATTATATTTATTTATTTATTTATACATTTTTAATGCTCGAAGCTTATAGCCACATGAGGCTATAAGGTCATAACATGCGATGGGGGGGGGGGGGTCATAGGTTGACATCGATTCATTCACACGTATTGTACACCCACACAGGTGTTTTTTCACTTGCCTGGTTAGAGACTGTGTGGACATGTACAGAATGTGTTTCATTAACATCTAAAAGTAGAAAAGAAAATTGAACTGATGGAGTCGCTGCGACTGAACGATAACTATGTCCAGTAAATGTCCTGAACACATACACAGGTTGCTGTTGCAGTTGTGTGTGTAGAGCACATCAGCACTCGGTGGGATTTAAGCTCTGTAACACACAGTCTGTGTGATTCAAGCTTCTGACTATATAACTGTCAGCTTGACAGTCTAGGTTTTGTTTCTCCCAGCAGGCTGAACGTAGGAAGCAACATGCAGAAGTGTGGGATGGATTTCTGTGTGGGAGTGTGCCGGTCGAGAGTGAGGGAGCGTCTACGATTGATGATCATTTTGCATTGGACACCTGCCACAGCCCAGTCTGAGAACGTGGGGGGCTGCCCTGAATCACAGTGGACTGTTAAATCATACAGCAATCAGTTACAGTTTTTATTGTTGATTGGTTCATTAGTAGTTTTAAGGAAGCGAAACAGAGTTGGTTTCAGGTTCTCTGGGTTTACTATAAGAGTGGAAATGTAATAATATTGTGGTAGGCTAACTATCACATGACATTTCTTACTACGGGTTTCATCGTACAGGAGTAAATCCATGTTCATTCTGTTGACTTAAATCATTTTTGGAGGAGAATCTTTTTAACTTCAGTATCATATGTATTTAAGATCTCAAAATGTATGTTTCTATCATTTGTTTATTCATAAGAACAAAATAATTTAATACAGATTGGCAGAAATGAAATATATAATATGCATAACTATGTTTTCATTAGTGTATAATCACCTGAATATAGGAATTGTTGTGTTTTTAAAATTTGCCTTTTTCGACTGATCTATTGAGCTCTAATAGCATTGATCTAAAATATCTAATTAATCTCATAATAACTCAAAAATCATCTTGCATGTCACTGTGGTGTTTGGACCCGTTTTTAAATGTTCAGTTTGAACATATTTCACAGTTCATCAAATCACCAGCTCATCTCCTTGACCTTTACTTGTCCTCATGTGGCTGCTGTGCAGAAAACCCTCGCAGCCTTTACACAACATTTGTTTATCCCGTTTAGTTCCACCCCATCATCATCTCATTATGTTGTTACATTACATCACAGCCACTGCAATACCTCATCCCAGACATGCTGACAACACGATAATCCAATAATAAATGTTGGAAACATCACAAGGTCACCATCCAAGAGCATGAGCTGCAACGACTAGTCGAGCAACAGGTTTAATTGACAACTATTTAGATCATTTATTTCTGGTTTATAAGAAATTGTTTCAGTAAATATGCTTATTCACTTTATTGCCAGGAGTTAGATGAGAAGATCAATACCCCTCTCATGTCAGTATGCTAACTAGAATGCCACCAGCCTGTTAGCTTAGCTTAGCATAAAGACTGGAAACAGGTGGAAACAGCTAGCCTGGCTCTGTCCAACACCAACAACATTTGCCTACGAGCACCTCTAAAGCTCGCCAATCAACATAGCTTATTTGTTCAATCCGTATGAAAAACAATAAAAACAACGTATTATGGTGTTTGGCAGGTGGCAGTTATGTGACGGACTATTTCTTGGTTTGGATGATAGTTTGGAAAAAGCCAGGCTAGCTGTTCCCCCATTTTCCCCAGTCTTCTTATCTAACTCTTGAAAAGAAAGTGCACAAGAATATTTCCCAAAATGTCAGACTATTCCTTTAAGTCATTTTTACAACATTATAGTAAATTTAATCTCTTTGGGTTTTGGGGCTGTTGGTGACATTTGAACATGTCCCCTTATTGGCTCTATACTTGTAACAGGCATGTTTCAGTTTTTGCTGACATTTTAAAGACCAAAAGATAAATCAAGAAAACAATCAACCGATGATAAAAAAAAATAATCTATAGCTGCAGCCCTACATGCTGTTACTGCCAAAATAATGATTTATTGGTTAATTAAATGTTTTATTGTCATTTTTGTTAGTGGAATAAGTCAATACTCAAGTTTATTAATTAAAATACAACATACAGTCAGTAAGACTGGAGAGAAGATATTATTATTATTATTATTATTACTATTACTATTACTATTGTCACCATATAAGTGTATCATATCACAAAACTCTCATACCAAGATATTGTGATTATTTTGAGTTCTAATAAAAATAATAGAAAAATGATTTTACTGTGTCTTATTTTTCAGTTTTTTAAAAATGTTTTATAGATCATGCAATTAATCGAGACAATAATTGGCATATTGACTATTTTTTTTTATTAATCCATTTGTTGTTTAGTCTATAAAAACTAGTAAAATCAAGTTAAAAAAACAGTATAACATTCAAATATATCCAGTTTACAAAGACATAAAACACAGGAAAGTACTAAATTATTACATTGGAGAAGCCTGAACAAGAGAAGGTTTGGTATATTTTCTTGTTAAATTACTCTGTTTTCAAACAATTTTCTGTTGATTGACTTATCATGTTTGGACTAGCCTCAACCAGCTCCAGCTCTGACATAATCTTAGTTGCAGCCCTGAGACTCCACAGACATAATCCCTGTAGATTTCAGTGGGGGAAATGATACATCAGAAAATGGCAGTAAATCGCTTTAAACTCTCTGCCTCTCTCTCTCTCTCACACACACACACACGCACACGCAGTCCCACGGGACTACTGTAGTGATTTCTCAAGTCAGAGGCAAGTTGAAGCAGACTTGTGAAGCTGCTACACAGCGCCTCTACGGCCGTCCATGTGCTTACAGAGGAGGAGAGAGGAGGGAGCGCAGAGAGAGAGAGCAGTCATTGTGCGTGAAGGACCGTGACAGTCCGGAGCGGCGGGAGTTAGGAGGGAAGGAGAAGAAGAAGAAGCAGAAGAAGAAGAAGAAGCCTTTAACCAGACCCTTCACCTGCAGCACAAAAAAAAAAAAAAAAAACCCGTGACGGAAACATGCAATGTGACAGAGATTTGCGCGCCACTTGTTCACTTGTGCCTTTGCAAACACCTTCTGGGAGTTCACATGTTCCTGCGCGTCGACGAGGACGCAATGTTTAGGCGCAGACGACCGGCAGAGCTCCGCGGAGTTTGGATGTGTGTGCTTTCTTAGCTTGTCAGATGTAAGAGGAAGCAGAAAAGAAAATAGAATCAGGAGAAACAGCGAGAAGGAGCACCGCGAATGTAGTCTACAGAGGGGGGGTGGCAAAAAAGCGAAACACCGTACCAGCCAGTGTGTTTCCTGTGGTCATCCTCCTGTGTGTTTCGGTTTCTCGCAGTGCTGTGTGGGTTGAACAAAAAAAAAAAAAAAAAAAGTACAGGGGAGAATGCAGGTGAAGAAGCACCGGGACTCAGACCGGAGCGGCGGGGACATTCTGGAAAGAGACGGCCTCCGCAAAAACTCATCATGCTTCTCAAATATCAAGATATTCTTGATATCGGAATGCGCCCTCATGTTGGCACAGGGCACCGTCGGAGCATACCTGGTGAGTGCAACACACACACACACACACACACACGCAGGACACACTGTGAAGCTGAGACCTCACATAGTCGCACTTGTGTGCTATCCGGGTCTGGGTCTTTGCCTGTGAGGTTCCTGCTGCCCTGCACGCTTTGGGCTGTATAACATGTAGTAGAGCATTGACAGCACATAGAAACCTCTCTCCTGCACGGTGAGTTTAGACACAGCCTGCAGGACACATTTCATGCTGCTCAACTGTCCCCTGTTACATGTTATTATACCCTGCTGCTTGTGTGCCATCATGTCTTAATTTATCTTTAATGTAACAATCACTCAAACTGAGACGCATTTAATCAACCCTGCAGCAGTAACCAAAAGGGTGACCTTAAATATCTGGTTGGCGTTAATAATCATAGTTATGCTACATTTAGGAAGGCAGTAATTGGCTGATTTTACCCAAAATGTCATTCAAGGTCAAGGACCACCCTCTCATCTTCATCATTTCCTGTTTTTATTTATTTTTATCTCTCACTGACCCTTTCAGTTTTACTATTACTCACACCGATAACATATCAGATTGGTGTATAGAAATAAGGTTTTAAACTGGTCCTCTCTTCTTATAAAACCTCAAAATGTGTGTTTTTGTGATACAGTTGGTTGCATTGATAACATCAAAACACACTACAGTTTACTCAGAACTCATTTAGGAACTCTTAATATGGATTTTTTGGGACAACACTCCCAGAAGTGCTCCAAAATATTCCTCAAAGCGTCCCAGAGGACCTCCACAGCCTCGGGCAACCACTGTGAACATTTAGTTTCAACATTAGCTTTGTTTATTCTCTAAGAATTACTTGGAATTAATAGCCCCCTGAATGCCTTGGCCATATTTGGAGTGGAACATCTTATCTTCTCTGGTAGTGGAGCTGCTGAGCATCAAGAATCCGGCAGCTCAGAGCAGCGACAGAGCACGACGGTGCAACTCACAGTCCGTTATGGAGTATATTCTTCCTCTTTATTGTCTATTTCTATTAAAAAAAAAAACAGGTAGTACATTTGTTCTGCTTTTTATGGCACCCTGGGACACCTGTTCAAACAGTTTGAACCATAAACCTGGAGCTTCAGGTGAGGTTAGGAGTCATTTACATACACAAACACACAAGGCTGTCCTGGTCAGCAACACAACAAAGCTAATTTACATGAAGCATAATTCGCATGGGCAGGACATTAGGTACCTGCTTCAGTGGCGATCTGATGAACTGGCGTTGACCTACATGAGCTACTCTATCTCTGTCTGATTGGATGATGGGACTTAAGAGTGTTTGCTGGCAGCGAAGGGCCAAAACTCAACTATCATGGTACCCCTTTTCTTTCAGTGAGCTGCTTAGAGTACAAGACACTTAGCAACATGCTGGGTGTCCTGATTTAGCAGCCTGACTGCAAGTGAACAGTCAACCTGCACAGGCCGTAGAACTGTAACGATACACTCAATTCATAATACTCGGTTCACACAATGATTTTCTCACCTTTTTTTTAACAAAATGACACAGAAGAAAATGACTGAAAAATATTATTTTATTTCTCAGACAAAAAATCTAAATATATTTTCTCTGATATTTTCCTTATCAAATTATAAAAACCCTTTTCTTATTCTAATGGACACTAGGGCTGAAACCAGTATTGTTAGTTGTTATACGAATAACTCTTCAAGTGTCTCTTTTGTCTGACCAGTATGCAGTTTGCTAAAAGAGTTTACTGTTTCAAAGTGAAGGAACTTGATAAGTTGTAGTAATTTATTTCTCTATTTTTACTTGATTGATGACTGAAATGATTTATCAATTATCAAAATAGTTGCAGATTGATTTTAACAATTACACTAATGATCAACAGAAATGTCCCTGTAGCATCAGCGGGTAACACAAGATCCATTTAATCCCTTGTTTACAACCAATGCATTGATTAAAATGACTATAAAGTTACATTGTTAAATAGTCGTATGTAGAGCTGGAAATTTAGTTGACAGAAAATTAATGCAAACAGTTTTGTTAATTGATTATTCAGCTCAGTCATTTTTCAATCCAAAAGGGCACATGTTCTTTCTCACTGATTTTTGACATGACAAAATCATGAATCAATAATGAAATGAATCATTGATTAGAGTGTTAGTAGCCTGAACCACCAGTACCAGTAGTAGCTCCATTTCAGAAAGGGTAGAGGTTCACTGGCAATATTTCTATCCCTCTCTGACAACAAAGAAAGGAGACAAAACTCTCTTACAGTATTGTAACACTTTTAATGCTCCGAGCATGGTGCACAAGACAAAGGTTAATTTGTTATAAGCACACCGATGGGAAGTTGCTCTCTTTCTTTATACCCTGGCTCGGTCCTTCCCCTCAGTTAGCATCTTATACACCTTTGTTCTGAAGATAAATGGCCCCCATAAGTCAGGATGTTTTGAGGACATCCAAGTGGGAATTGATGTAGATAGTGTATAAAGTCAGGCCAAGGGTGATTCATCGTATGTTGAGGATTCAGCATGATCAAACATAAGGAAATTAACATCATTACATCTGCATGATCCCTTACACCCCAGGACCATCATGTGATCAATAAGTTTATTAGATCAAGTTCAAGCTGTCTCATTTTACCCAATAATAAATCTACTAGGACAGATGTATTTTGTTTAGTAGACTTTTGACTAGAATGAACCAAAAGAGGCCGTTTACGTTCAAGCATTCAGTCACTACTGTTGGCTGACTCCCACTTTTCTGCAGTAATTGCATTAGACTTTAATTGTAGGAGGTGATACTATATTAAGCCATAGAAAGCTCTGTTTGTTACTTCTGTGTATGTAGCACCTGATGGTGTAAGTTCTGTTGGTTATAGTAAGACCTCCCTGATAAGAACCAAATCTGACACTTCAGAGCTCGAGCTGAGAGAGATCAGCTAACACCTGAACCTGTTTGTCTCAGCTGAGCAAACCTGTCAAACTGCAGTCGGGGATCAGCTGAGTTTCGGAAGGAGAGAGAATTATTAATAGCCATGTTCCAATAAAGCACGTGTATTTGTTCAGATATTCATTTTATTAGTCATTTTCTTTATTCATTCATTAAAATTATGCTATGCTAAATATCAGGTTGATGTGCAGACATAAATCAAAACATACATCACTCAGGTCATTTATTATTGTTGTGTCAGCCTTGGGCAACATACAGGTGTAGCCATTAACAGAGTAGCTGACGTCAGGTGCCTTTGACAAAGTGGTTGAAGTTGAAAGTGACGAGCTTTTTAAATTCATACAGCCAGAATTTAGGTGATAAGGAGCAATAAATTGGCAGTTTATTCGAAATCTAACGCTACCATACTTATTGTATGTGCTCAAAAAATAAGGATAAAGAGAGTAAGTACACCATATGCACGCAGCTAATACTATAGTTGTAGCTGCTTTTAGACGCCGATAAAATAACTCATTCAGAGCAGTTAAAGTAAATTTAGCTCACCTTTAGTCAACCTTGAGTAGGTTGCACCCCATAAAACCGAGTGGAAATGTTTCTAAATAGCCGAGGCTTCAGTTATTAACAACTGTTTGCCTTCACAAATAGAACCATTTCAGCACTTTCACGTCAGTATTAAACCTTAATGTGCTGAAGTGAATGTCAGCATTGAGCTACTTTTCTTTGATACAGACCCTGTCAGTACAAACTCGGTGGAAGTTGGGATTCCTTGTGCTCAGACAAGACTCTGTCCTAGGTGATGGGACGTCACACAGCATGACGTGGTTTGTTTTGTTGCCATGCAACATATTAAACATTTCCACAGTTTGAGAAAATGTGGCTGTGACTACTGGCCAGTGTGCGCTTGATTTTTCCTCTATAATTTGATCTGGGTTTAATCCTCCTGGAAGGCGGCCTGTTTTAACTTCGAGTAGAATTGGACAAACATATTAAAACTGGCTTTACCGTCGCAGAGTCTTTCCACTGCTGAGCTGAGAGCAGAACCTGTCAGTCGCACCACCTCGCCCATGGCCTCCCATAATAACGGGATGGCATGTGATTGAATTGGATGATGGCTTCTCTGCTACACTTTGTTGCAGTGTTACTGTCTGTGTAGAGCTAAAGCTACAGTGTCAGCAGGTTGTTTGGGCTTGGCATTGTTTCTAAGAACCGAACAAGACAACGCGATCAAACCCCAGCCGGGTGGAGCCAGCCAGGCATAAATGCAGCCCGTCCAGTGTGCTCAGTATTTGTGAGAAAGAGCCGCCCAAGGGGCAGAGACGTCATGACTCATCCTGAAGTTTTCTATCCACTCAACTTCACCAAAAGCACTCCGGCACAAACCGCTCCCAGCAATCATCCTCCCCATGCTTTGATCTGTAGTGATGGAGTCACTGCGGTTGTGTTCAGAGCAGCTGCGAGTATGACCTGCTGTCACTTCTGCTTCCTAAAAGTAACAGAGGACAACTTATTTCCAACTCTAAAGACAAAGAAAACAGGCTGTACAATGTTTGTTTTTAGTTGAAAATGATGTCTCCTCATCTACTCGCCTGTTGTGCATTAAATTTGCTCTCAAAGGGGAAGCACAGAGGACATAATAGAGTATGGAAAACGGTGACAAAGGCAAAGGGTCAGGTGGATAAATGTTTGGATTGTATTTTTAGAAACAGACCATATTTGAATAACCGGTGTCAGTAGGGGCTGGGGGGTACATGGTTTCTTTTCTGCTTCAGGACAGACTGTAGTATCATAGAATAAAGCCAATTAGCAAAAACATAAAACTCCAAAATGTCACTTCCCTGTTCAGTACTGATTCAGTACCATATCTGGTATGGAGATTGCAGTGTACTGTATATGGCTGTTAGGAGACATACTTGAGAAACCAACAAAGGCAACTAGGACTAGCCAATCAGAGGCAGACTATGGTGGACGTGCTGCCACTGAGCACAGGCAACTACTGTTTCAGAGCAGCAAAAAGGAGTGGATTTCTGGTGGTTTAACGTTACCCAGAGCTAGCTAAATATCAATTTACCTAGCAATTTGACTGTCACACTAGATAATAAAAGAAAGCTCTATGACCATACAACAATGATAGCAACCATACAGGGTTACCAGAATACAGCTGTTGAAGTTTTTTTTTTTTTTGATAAGTCACTTCCGCATAAAGAACCTTAAACACATTAAGATCCAATCATAATCAACTGTGTACATTACATTTCTATAATGAGGATTTGGTAGAAAAATGTTCCAACTAAAAGTTGATTCATCTTTTCATCTTGCAAAGAAGTCACTCTTTTCAGAAGGGGATGTTTGTGCTGGCAGGATGCTTTTTTTTTTTTCCAGAGTTAAATCTAAACTCTCTCTCAGCACAGCCAGTTGGGAAATGGAAAATTGTGATGCCCTTTCAAGGACAGTTTGGGACAGATCTGAAAATAGCTTTGATAACTTTAAATGTGAGACTGTGGTTCACATGGCACAGAGAGACTGTTCCCATGTATCACAAGCAAAAACACACTTGCTCTGCCTTACAACAGATTCATTATAAAGTCTTTACTTTAAAGCATGATGATGAACTGAGTTTCTAACAAAGTTACACATTGTCCACATTAGTCAAAATATTTCATCTCTAACCACTGACAACTACAGTTAGCAAAGACAAACCATGAACTGGGCTGAACAAATGTATTGCTGTGTTTGCTTCAGCTGGAAGTTACTGGTAGGCTCCAGCTCTTGTGTGGATGACAGCTGGTGAAAGAGGGAAGCTTGTGATGAGCGGTTCTCATTGAAGCCATGGAAGTAAATGTTGCAGTGCCCGGCTAATCAGAAACAGAGGCCTGTTTCCAGGGAGGAGCCACAGTGTGGAACATCTGAGCAGCTTGTTATTCAGGGTATTCCAATGGAAAGACAGTTTAAAACGGCGTGAGTGATGATGAAAAGGTGCCCAATTTCTGAAAGAGCCTGTCCAGAAGAATCAAATGTAGGGCCCATTGACATCTGGTGGTAATATGTGGTCTGTATCTGGATAATGACCTCTGATCCGAAGGTCTTTGCATTTACACCTCGTACTATTAAGCATTCTCCTTATCTCCAAACTGTCCTTGTTGTTACTTTCCTAATTAGGATGCGCCGTGTTTGTTGACAAGTCTGCCACCTTTCCCAGGTCAAGGAAAGCAAAGCCATAAAGGGAAGTCATTCATTTTAAAAATGCTTTTTGCAAAGGGAAGAGTTGCTAACTGCTGCTGTTAGTTGCTTTTGCTGGGCTTGCTTAAGTTTTAGGAACAGGAGCCAGAGTTAGTTGACCTTTTAAGGTGCTGGACTGTTTGTTGTCACACTATACATTCACACCTGGCTGAGATGTGATCACAATGCCAGCCAGGCCATCTTTACATGTGAACTGTCTGATCTAACCATGTTCCGATCACAATGTGTTCTGCCTGCAGTGTAAATAGGGTCATAGAGTTAACATGATATGATGCCGTACATTGATTAATAATGATTTTCACTTTATTTGCGTCATTCAGTAGACCCTGGTTTGATTTTGTGTCCCGCTTTTGTTTTCAGGTGAGTGTGCTGACCACCCTGGAGCGGCGGTTCAACCTGCAAAGTGCTGACGTAGGAGTGATAGCCAGCAGCTTTGAGATAGGCAACCTGGCTCTGATCCTGTTTGTCAGCTACTTTGGAGCCAAAGCACATCGACCCCGTCTGATCGGCTGCGGGGGGATTGTCATGGCGCTTGGCGCCCTTCTCTCAGCTCTGCCTGAGTTTCTAACTAATCAGTATGAGATAGGGGAAACGGGGAGGACTGACATGGGTCGGGATGTTTGCACCAACACCAGCAGCAGGGAAGCCCAGGAAGCTGAGAACAGAGTGTGCGCCAACAAGGCGAACACCAACATGATGTATCTGCTGCTGATTGGAGCCCAGGTCCTGCTGGGGATCGGAGCCACACCGGTGCAGCCCCTGGGGGTGTCCTATATTGATGATCACGTGAAGAAGAAAGACTCATCACTGTATATAGGTGAGTTATTCATGAAACTGTATGAACAAAATGTTAAAAATCCAGATTGTACCCTCTGTTGGGGGGAAAAAGGGTTGAATGAAATTACTGTTCAAGGAAACAGATTGATGATTATCACACTGGAAATTAAAAATCTATTTACTGCACCACACTGATTTCCCAAGGCAACTAAAACCGGTACAGCTGAAAGTCAGCCATGACTGTTTGTTCATAGCCTTCAGGTGCAATGTTTGCATAGTTTGAGTCAACACAGTATATATGTGTGCTCTTCTGCTGCTCCTTTTATCCCAAGCACAGGCCTGTTCACGTGAGTGCCAGGTGAGCAGATCTTGGAGCTTTTTAATCTCCATTACACCGGTTTCTGTGGCGAAGAGTCCGGATACGGGTTAAATGTCTGCTTCGCTCAATCCTCTCTCAAAGGCAAGATGCTGCTGATGTGGCTCTTCGAGGTTTAAAGGTGCATTCAAAGTGCTTTCTGTGCAAGGTTCTGGATACACAATAGCTGTTTAGGGATATGTATTTGCTGTGATATGTATATTTTGATAAACAGAATGTAGCTTTAGCACTTGGCTCATTAAAGCCATGCAGAGGTTTTCACTTATGTAGCTTTTCCTTTGATTCCATGGCAGATATTTTACAGAGAGACCACCCAGTCAGAATTTTACATTTTCAGAAAATACGCGTATTTGCTTTTTCTTGAAGGAAAAACAGCTAACTTGGCTACCAGCACCTCTATAGCTCCCTAATTATCACATTTTATCTGGCGTGCTTAATCTGTCCAAAAAATGATCAGTGCCAATCAGTTTTACAGGGTGTTACATGCTGAACCTTTTTCTTAGCCTGGGGCAGTCTTTATGCTTAACTAAACTAACCAGCTGCTGGCTCCTCTTACATGTTTATCATACAGAATTTAGAGGGTATTAATCTTCTCATCTAACATTTGACAAGAAAGCGAATAAGCAATTTTCCCAAAATGTCAAACTATTCGTTGTTCCTGCATGGCAAACCTTTTTTGTTTTAAGTTTGTTGGCCACGGGAGCGGAGAAGTTACCCGCGGACCACAGCCACAGATCCATTTAATAGTATGTTTCGTTGTTATGACGGGGACCTGCCTGTTTGTTGTTCAGACTGCCACATCAGGCTTTGATGGAGTGGATGAGATGCGTCCGCATAGTGTGTGCTGTTTGTTATCAGTGTGGAGCAGAGACAATGAGAGGCTGGATGGAGGATGAGTTCAGGCTGGCACTCGCCCTTTTCTGATGCATTGCTGCTGTGTGGCTGCCTTTTGTCACTCAAATACAGATGTGACCTGCGAAACAAAGGCAGCAGTGTGCTCTTTAATCTCAAGCCCAAAGCTGATTTTCTTAATTGCCGTTTGTTGTGTTTATTTGTCCTGAACATGAGTGGGGTTTTTTTTTTTTTTTTTTGTTTTGTTTATTTTTTTTTACAAAAAAAAGCACCCTGAGCTTTGTTTGAAACAATACACAGCCTGAAAAACTACCACAAAAGGTTGTGACGTTTTTTGGCACCACCGTAGTGGTTTGTTAGCAGTTCATGGTAGGAAGTGGACTGCGAGTGATTGAAGTTTGGCAGGCGTACAGGGGCAGGGAGATTTGGTTCTGTCCTCCTCTGATAAGCTGCAAGGAGAGTTGGAGGAAAAACAAGCGGTGAGCAGCGAGGAACAATGCGGTATTGAGTTGCGCTCAGCTGATCGTTCTAATCCTTCTGCTGCAGGCATGTCATGTGCCCCCAGCTGCATGAATGGAGGAGATTGTCTGGAATTCTGTGAGATTTCCTTTCACTTACTGATAATGTATTTGGATTATTCATCAGTTTACGTCAACAAGTTCACATTGTTGCAGCTGTAACAGAAAGTTTTGTTTTGAAACACTTATTGCCTGCGCGTTGTATTCCAAATATTTTCTTATTTCCTGTAGGTTTTGCACAAGTTCTGTAGGCTTTTGCTTTCAGTCTTATATTTCATTTGTAATTTACCGTAAACACACCTGGGAATAGCTTCCGTGACATCACCAGATTATCTAATTTAAAGTAAGATAAATGTAGCTTTATTGTGGGATTTGCAAAAACAAAACAAAAACAGGATCAATCCATCATCTCTGTTATTTTGTGTCTGCAGGCAGGTATAGAAGATTTGAGAGGGGAATTTAGGAGTGGTCTGAAGAAGCTGTTAGAGGGGAAAGAAATTAGAGGGGAAACACCTTTCGAATCTGAAACCAGTAACTTGACACTTGTCTTTCACAACAGCTGCAGACACATGTGCTGTATGAACACGTACGGTAAAACTTCCCTCCGCTACCACTGTGCTCTCATTTAACCACTGCCAGATTTCAAGTGTGTATCGACGTGTCGTCTGGCATGTAAACTCTTTCACAGCTTTACGTTTTCAACCGTCTTCACAAGCCCAGCGAGAGACAGGGTTTAAAGCAAAGCAGTAACTTCACTGTAACTCCTTTAATTTACTTAAATGATGTGATATTCCATAATTGTAAGTTCAGTGCAAGGTGAGAGACATCGTGCTTAACCCTGATTCATGAAACATGACACCAAATGTAATTGAAGGCACTGTGAAGCTGCCCCCCACTGCAACTGTTGACTGCCGCTGTTGTCAGTGCACATTTTCGCCCTGTGATGTGTTATTGTTAAAATTAGAGCCTGAGCTAAGTGGCCAGGTGAAAAGTGTTCGCCTTCGACAGAGGCAAGTCCCGCCCTTTAAAGAGTATGGTGGTGCAGGGAGAGCAGAGCCGAGAGGCCTGGAGAAGAGCCATAATTACAGAGTGAGGCAGGAATGCCAACCAGCCAGCCATGAGGTGGGTCTGAGTGGGCTGGGACGCACATGCATACCACACAGGCCTGTGAAAAACAACTCCTCCGGAGGCTCCGACTGCCTGCTTTTACTGTGTATACAGCAGCAGACATGGCTGTTTAAACAGCTGTAAAACACACTCGAGCAAAGTTGGCTGTGTGAGAGAGCTTTTTGTCTCTGTCTGGTTAAGATACGTTCACTTACATTGTTAAGAATTTTTAGGACTGTACTTCGAAGTGGTGGATGTTATTCGTAAAAAGAAGTACCTCAGTGTTCTCTGGTTTGAAGGCGATCACTCCCGCCGACAATTTTTTAAGAGCCAGCCGAATATAAACGTGTGTATTTTATGGGATTGTGTTGTTTTGGTTTGTTTCCAAGTCTAGACCTAGGCACTCATCTCTGGCCGAAAGAAATAAATATGATTGGACAGATTGCGTCAACAGGATCTCTATTCCCACTGCTCTATGACCTTTCACTATCCATTGCTAATTTTGGCTCTTCCCACAGGACCCCTGACTGCATAAATATACTGTACAGGACACACAGAGAAGGGTTTCGAGCTGACATCGTGTATCATACGGCACAAACTTTACTCCAGGTTTCTGATCCTTTTAAACAGCCTGCAATATCTTAATTTCTTTCTTTCATTAAACTATAATGTACACTATGTAGTGGAGTACATTTATGGGGGAGACTTCAGTGTAACGCCTTTTTATGTAAAATCCCACAGATTTGGACATATGTACGTTGCTTGTTGCATAATAAATATAAGAAATGTATGATCAGATTTAAAAGTGCTGATGGAGTGATGAAATGCAGTTTTCCAAAGCTGCTTCTTTTACCGTCTTGCGGAAGTTGTCATAAAGAAGTTTCAAGTGTAAATTGTGTGTTTTCTTTCTGCATTCAGCAGACACAGATACAGTATGAATGTTCACCGTATCTGCTTTGTAAGTAACATGTGGTGTGCTCACTACAGCCATGCTAGTGGCTCTGTGAGACCGGTGCTGTGGCGTTTTAAGCTAAATACTGACATCAGCATGCTAACATACTCACCATGACAAGGCTAATATGCTGATTTTTAGCTGGTAATGTTTACCATCATAGCAACGTTTGCTAATTAACACCAAACACAAAAAAAACAGCTTAGGTAAATGGGAATAGTTTTGCAGGTATTTATCCATAAACCAAATTATTAGACTGTTTGTAATTTGACTGTTTGTAGTTTGTAAAGAAATTGACATTGTATGCTCATTGGTTTCATGATAACACCCATTATCTTTGCAGTGTGAATGTCGTTAGTATGTCTGTCTCGATAGTCCAACAGCATCTTTGCATTCCCAATCAAATAAGCTCATTTTAAACTGCAGCATGATGTGATTGTCATTGACGGCAGCCATTTATACAACACGAAAAGACACACAGATTCTCAACAATCCAAATTAGCTTTTTTTAGCGTATTATTTTCTACAATTTAAGACACGTCTTGTTGGACGAGCTACCAAATAAACATCCACTGGGGGAAAAGTGTGTAGCTAACGTCGAACAACTCAAAAACATACCTGCTAGCTTCCACATCGGTTAGTTTAGATGTGACATGTTATGATATACATTTTTCAACCCCAAAAACCTGTCTTTGACTTGTAAACTATATTTTATCCACATTGTGTCTCTGTGCCTCGCTGGCTAAGCTGTCAACCAAACGTGTAGCCTACACCAACCCACCCACTCAGAGGCTCGAACACTAAATGAGCAAAGACCCCTTTTCTCTTCATTTTACTACTGAACACATATTAACAGTTAAAAGGATTACTAATTATGTTTTCAGTTGGGTTTTACAACTTCATGCACAGACAGACAGACAACAGTCACAGTATGCAGCAGCGCAACAGCACAGAGTATGAAGTTCCTCTGGGTTTTATTGGCGAACACAAGCCTGTTAGAGCAACTGTAGCGGACATGCTCGCTCTCTCTCTCTCTCTCTCTCACACTCTCTCTCTCACAGCCAACCTACCAACACTACCAAACTAGGAATGACAGACTAGCTGTGGGGAAACACAAAGGTCTTTTTTTCCCCCATGGTAGCCTAAGACAAGATAACTGCTTCCACCTGGAGAGTGAAAGCATAAAAATTTGCCTTTTCATATCTCTGTATTTTTGCTGCCAACCTTCAGGCCAT